ATTAATGGTGGAGATCAGATATTGTATGCATCTCTGAATACGGTGATATCCATGTGGAATAATTTTTCCATTTACATACATAGCATGATGTGTGTAAAATTTAAAGTTTAGATGTCTACCAAGATTTGTTTGAATACGGGGTTAAATTGGATGATGTAATAAGTATAAATGCTAATTAAATATGATTTAAATGATAAAATAATGATATAATAATGTCGAATATAAAAAAAAATGAGCAAACTATTAACAGTTAAGAATCTCGTCAGCAAGGAGTTGAAGGATATAAAGCTCTACAACATAAACCTGTGCGGGAGCAGTGCTCCTACGCCACGATGCGAGGTTGTTATGCCACCCGACATCGCACATAATTGGTCATGAGGGGCTGATCGGTGATTCGAGCAGTTTGCAGGTGTACGGGCCGAACCGTCGGTTCGACCATTTCTGGATGGTTAACAACTACAAAGGATTTTTTATATGATTCGATCAGACTGGTCATCGGTTCACGACTGAACAAATCGATACGATCTGATTTTCTAAACCCTAATGTTTGTTGTGCAATTACATAGGAATTGAATGTTATGTATGTAAATCTTCCACCTCAAAAAACATAAACTATGAAAAAAAAATACATAATTATGTTATCTAAAGTGACTAATGATTTATTTTTTTTAATGAGAAGTTAATCTAAAATATTAGACAAATAATAAACTATATTTATTTGTTTATAGTCCAATTTTTAAATCTATTTATTAAAATAATGAGTCTAAATACAGTTATTTTGAGTGTGATTATAAATTTAAATAATTCTACCCTTTTTTTATAGTTTAAGCTACTCTATAATTTTTATTTAATTTTTTTTTAATAAAAAACGTGAATTTTTATTTTTAGTTTCATTATTTAATTTTAGGAAATTTTCCGTGCATAACATGAATTTTTATGTATTTACATATCTCACTAAAATTTTGATATTTACCCACATAGCACTTTATTTATGCTTGAAAAGATTAAATTGACTTGTGAAGAGTGATGATTAGTAGGGTTGTCAAAAAAGCTCGTTGTTCGCGAACAGTTTGTGTTCGGCTCGAGTTCCTGTTCGATTCGTTCGATAAGCAAATGAGATGAACACGAACAATTTTTTTTTTTTGTTCTGTTTATAAACAAATTAAACACGAACATTCATTTGTTCGATCATGTTTGAATCATTATTGATATATATATATATATATATCATTTATCATGTTTTAAAAATAATTATATACTCTAACAATTTTTTATATTAAAAAAAATTAAATCCTATAAATTGTAATTTGATCTTCAGGTTCGTCTCTTAGCTTAAATTTTTTTATATTTTTTTTAGGTTTATTTAATTTTTTTGAGTTAAACATAGTTTTTAGAGTAAAATCTCGCGCATTGTCTCTAGATCTAAATTTGTTTTGTGAATGAGATAAAATATTATGATTTTATTGTGAGTTGTGTTTCGACTATTTTGCATTTATGTTGTAATTCATACAGGTTTAAGCATTGATTTCAGATAGATTTAAGCTTTTGAAAGATTTTGAACAATTCAAACAATACAAACAAATTTGTAAGATTTTGAACAATTTGAATAATTCAAACAATTCAAACATTTCAAATATTTCAAACATATTTCAAACAAATCAAACCGAACGCAAACAGTAACTTCACGAACAATTTCAAACACGGGTCTATTTGAAACACAAATAATTTCATACGAACCGAACACGAACATGAGCTCTATTCGTTCGTGTTCGGTTCGTTTACACTCCTAATGATTAGTGATAATTTAGACGTGATAGAAAACAAACCCGTAAGATGCGGGTGAATATAAAGATCTTGGTATGAGTAAGGTAAATATAGGAAAATTGTGTCTATGGAGCATTTACCTACATACCACACAATTTTAACATATTTACATGTCCAAAATTTGAAATTGCAAATTTACAAACATAACACTGATCCTTAATATTACATAAAATATATCTTTATTACTTATTTTCAAAGTGAAAAAATATTTTTCATGCATCAAAAGAATTCAACATATTATATATTTGAGTATATAATTGAATTAATTTTATGAAATTGGGCGAATTATTATTTATTTTATAGTAATAATCACATATTTTACTTTACGTGACATAAAGAGACAGCAGGGTCAAATCGGATCTTTCTCAATAATTGAATTTTGATATGGTTTTGTCGAAATTTAAGTTAGCTGAGATGTTCATATCATGCTTACGATGATTTACATGTATGCCACTCAACTCCGGTGTGTGTGTGGTTATACATACACATATATAAATACGGTTATATGAATTTTTTTTTTATTATTATTAAATCGAGTCCACCTGCTGAAATAGCTAAATTTATTCCTCTTGAAAGAATACCTAGCCCGCTTGTATGAAGACAGTTATAAAAAAAGTTCATCATGACTAGTAAGAATATCTGTCAATCACTTATTGAAGATGACATCTAGCATTTGGGACTCTATCTTCTAAACCAGACATCAGGGATGAGGGTCGCAATGGCACTTACTTAACCCCCCCTCTAAAACCATATAACCCTGAGAATCTCGGAAGGGCTCAGTCTTTCCAGCTCATCAAAAATGGGAATTCAACTCATCTTCTAATGTTCCCTCACATGGCTCGCATTCATCGCTCTCTCTCTCTCTCTAGCTCTCTCTCTCTCTGACATTTTCTCTGTGCGATACAAGGCATTTACCAGGTGGTATGTACTCACAAACATTACGAGTCCCTAAGTCTCAAAAGAATTCAACATCTTGAAAGGTGCTATGAGCACGAAATTCATACACAAACTTTGCGAGAAGATCCTTTTCGCATGGAGCAAGATAAAGGAGAGTAATGAATTGCACAAAAAATTGTGCTTCAACATATCAATGAGCTAAAGAGCAGATGATGAAGGTTGTGCAAGAAGTAATGGGAGCGTCCATATCTTGTACTTGGGCTGAATCGAGGACACGAACTGGATCATTAGGTTTGATGCCTCGCAAGCAAGATCTAGCAAGGATAGTTCTAGCTATAATAGATCTAGCAAGGGAAGATCCAACAAGGGTTGATCTTGCGAGGATAGATCCACTAAGGCAAGAGCTAGTGGGACTAGATCCACCAGGGCTTGTACCGGTTGTAAGGAATTTACCAAGAGTTGGATCAAGAGGTTATGTTTGGACAACCTTAATCGTACAAGAGAAGAAGTGTTTGTTGTGGCCTCAACTGGAGAAAGAAGAAGAATAGCCTCTCCCAACTACTTAGATGACAATGATAAGAGAGGAAGAAGAAGAGTAATGTTAAAGGAGAATAGATTGTTAAGTGAAGTTGTAGAAGCAGGAGCATCAAGGAAGTTTAATACTCCTTCTTTGGAACCTTAGAGGGGAAGGTCTGACCCCATCGACCACTTGGCTTCATTCGAGTCAATTGTGTGCCTACCCCAAATAAACTTTAAATGTCATTTTTTCTACATGAAATTAAGGGAATCAGCTTGACGCATGTTTAATAACATGTCAGTAGAATTTTTCACCTCCTTTAGATAGTTTAAACGAATGTTCGTGGCTCAGTTTGCTAGCACGCAAAAGCAACACAAAAAAAACTCTCAAGTGCTCTTGAAGATCTGTTAGAAACCTACTGAGAGTCCCTAAAGCTTCATCACCTGCTTCCAACAGAAGGTGCTTGATGTTAAAGATTTGAACCTATTTTTGCTTACGTAGCTTTGGCCCAAGAACTCCATGAAGGGCCATTCTGGTACGTGCTTGGCCTGTAGAAGCTAAAGATGTTGGCAAAACTGTTGAAGCTCGTGAACATCCATATCTCTGACAAAGAGTACAATTCTCATTTTGGACTTGCTTGGCTATCGGAGCCCAGGGAGAAGGTCCAAAGCCAATCCCACAATATCTTAAGGTGCTCTCGACAAACATATCTTTCTAAAGCAAAGCAACACAAATGAGAGGCTAGCATTTGATTATTAAGCCAAGTAGGGTCCAACAGTGTAGGACAATATCCCTTTACTCATTAGAAACTTGCTTTTGAGATGCAAGTTTCCCGAGTGTTAGTTGCAAATTCTTTTAATATAATAGATAATGCTTGCATTCTCATTATATGCATTTTAACGAAAAGAATAAACACAAGGAAAATAAAAAGAGAGGGTTATGAGAGATTTTCCCTGAAGTGTTATCCGGAAACTTTCCTGGGAGAGCTATTTTTTTGGCCCACTGTAGGAAGTCGGGTACAAGAGGTCGAGTGGACTAGGCCGATTGATGAAGGCCAACTAATGGGAGGCAAGTGGTGAGGGCTTTCTCGAACGAATTCTCTACTGCATTACATGTTGCTTATCAATTCAATATCAATTGGTTATGCTCCTTGTATATCTCGTCTTCTTGTTTCTGGCATAATCCACACTCACCACCCTTTTTTGGGTGTTGAACTTAATCTCATTCATGAATCACCCAAAGAATATAACACAGAGAGAGATAACATATATAAGAAAGTGTTGTATTCTCTTCTAATAGCCGCCCCAGTGGAGAAAAAAAATTGTTCTGTTTTACATTCATTTTTTTCTCTTTTATATAGAGATAAATTATTATAAATATAAATAAGTAATAAGTACATTAGTAGAATAGTAAGTCAGAAATAACATATCTTGCAATTCGTCTAGTCACATTTCTCCTGGACTAAGTGAAAAGGGTCGAACGGAAAGGGTGAAGTGACTAGGACCTTATACTGTGGACACAAGGGTTTCTATCATACAATTTTCATATATAAATATATAAAATTTAATTCAATGTAAAGTTTAGAATTCATTTTAATTTTGGCCAAATTTAAAATAAAAAACTTATTTCCATAAAGGCAATAATCAGTTCTGAAAAACCTGCCTCATTCTCCTCTACCGCGGCACACCAGACCGTCCCCTTCCCCACCACCTCCACCACCACCTCCACCAGCACCACCACCAAGTGGCTTCCATGGCCCCCTCATCAGCGTCCCCCACGACATCTTCCGGCCCCACACCCCTCTCACCCCCTAACTAAATATAATCTATCCCATGACCCTCCTCCCCCACCGATTTTTATATTCCCCCTCCACCTCCTCCTCCTCCTCCTCCCTTCCCCTCCGGCGAACTTTCCCAATATTATATTCTTCTTATATTTTTTTGTTATCAGCTTATATTCCTCAGTTCATGGTGGCGCGCTATGCCGACGCCGGTTAGTGCCGCGCGGCAGTGCCTCGCCAGCGATTCTGCTTCCGCCCTCGATGCAGCAGTCGCCGCCGCTCATCGGAGATCCCACGCTCAAACTACCTCCTTACACGTCGTATTCGCCCTCCTTTCCTCTTCCTCCTCCACTTCCCCTTCACTCCTCCGCGACGCTCTCACTCGCGCTCGCAGTTCAGCATACTCTCCACGACTCCAGTTCAAAGCCCTCGATCTCTGCTTCAGCGTCGCGCTTGATCGTCTTCCCTCTTCTTCGGTTTCCGAGGGAGATGAGCCTCCGGTCTCCAACTCGCTCATGGCGGCCATCAAGCGCTCACAGGCCAACCAGCGCCGCCATCCGGATACGTTTCATTTGTACCAGCAACAGCAATCGGCGGCGGGGAATACGTCGCAGGCGTTCGCCGGTGTTAGAGTCGAGCTGCAGCAGCTGGTTCTCGCAATCCTCGATGACCCGATCGTGAGCCGAGTGTTCGGCGAAGCGGGGTTTCGGAGCTGCGATATAAGGCTTGCTATCCTGCGGCCACCGCCACCCATTCTTCGCTTCCCCCGTGCCGCGCCTTCCTTTGCAATTTCGCTGCCGGCGAGGGGTATGGGTTTCACTTTCCCGCGCACTTAGCGGCTGATAGTGGAGACGAGAATTGCCGGCGAATCGCGGAAATAATTGTAAGGAACGACGGCGCCGCGCGAAATCCGATGTTGGTTGGTGTTGGCGCGGCTGATGCGGCAGGGGAATTTGGTCGAACGATTGAGCAGCAGAATTGGACGGGGCTGCCTCTGGAGATTCGAGGTGTGAAGTTTGTGAGCTTTGAGAGGGAGCTTAGCGGCGGGGGTAAGGAGGTGATTTGTGCGAGGATGGAGGAGTTGGGAAAGGAGAAGCATGATCCTGGGGTTATTGTGAGCGTCGGTGATCTGAGCGGTTTGATGGAAGGGAATGAGGATGCCGCTAATTGCTTGGTTTTGGAGCTGACGAAGCTTCTGGAGTTGCGGCGAGGGAGTTTGTGGGTGATGGGTTGGTCGGCGAACTACGAGACCTACTTGAAGTTCTTGTCCCGGTACCCAATGGTTGATAAGGACTGGAATTTGCAGTTGCAGCCCATCACTTCTCACAGAACTGGAATGGCTGGATTGCAGGCAAAACCTCCGAGGTTAGTTTATTGGTAAACTCTTTCACTGATTCTGCTGCTGATTTTCTTTGCTCAACGTAGATCTTAAAAAAAAAAAAAAAATTGATGGTTTGGAGTTTGTTTTGATTGATCCTACAGGTCCAGAATTTGAGTTTGTTTTGTTTGATCAATGAACTTTGCTTTGTTTGATCTATGAAGTTTGCTCTGTTCATTCACAGCCAAATTGTTCTTGGTTTCAATTTCTGAGAGCTTAAGAATTAGCTTTTTAGATTTTAATCATCAAGACTGAACAGCTCAATGAATCTATAAAGATGTTTTTTAAGATAGTAAAAAGTTTTTCGTGTTATTTCTTCTTTTTGAAGACATTTAGAATCATTGTTCTACTATTCATAATGCCCAGTCTTCTTTTAAGTGGGTTCCACAGGTAACAGTGCAGCCTTGCACAAGCTGTTTGCAGTTTGTTTTTACGGAGATGGTTGCTTTTATTCTGACTGTCTTTTAGCTTTTTTTGGAAACATTAAGGGAAATTTATATTCGTAGCACAAAATTCTTATCTATTTGCATATCTCACCTATTGTTGATGGAGGAAGAAAATAACATGCACTATGTGAAACAGTGAGGTTGTTTGTTTGTAGTGAAAATTGTGCTACAAAAGCAAATAGTTACTCACGTCACCTCAAGGAAGGGATACGTCTTGTAGGAAAAATAGCATCTTGCAAACTTCAGTAGTGCGTTGCAGGTTTGGCTACATTAAAGGAATTTTATTCAGGGGTAGGCTAAAAGGGCTAAAAGTTGCTTCATATCAGTTCATGTAAGTTTCTAGGGGATTTGCATGCCTAGCACACAATTCTTATGTATTTACATATCTCACCCCTAAACTTTCATATTTATACACACAATACTCAAATCTTTGATGTCACATCAAAAATAGTATTATTATCACTTTTTAAAAATGAAATGCATATTTTCATGCATAATTTTAAAGCCCTGAAGTGCTATGTATGTAAATATGAAAGTTTAGGTGTGAGATATGTAAATACATGTGAATTATGTGCTATGTATGTAAATTTTCCAAGTTTCTAATATGTAGGAGCTATATGTAGATTGTGTTATTGTTATATTTCTGTGTCCGCCTAAAGCATTCTATTATTGAATAGGAAAACTATTTCATAAACTCTTATGAAGTTCAGGTAAGAACAATTGCGAGCATTTTAGAAGCTGGAATAATTAAATTCAAAAGCCATAATTGTTGAATTATTTAAAATATGAACTTGTTGGAGCAAGTAGGAATGTTTAATAGGTTTAGATCAATGTAAACATCCAAAAATTTCATTCATGGCTTTGGGAAATGCCCTTTCGTTTTCTTAATGGAGCAAATTCTGTTGCTTCTTTTTTGAGACATTTTCTGGTATCACAAAAGATTAAAACAAACTGGCTCCAAGTCAAACGACCTTATAATGTTGTTTCAAGAGACTATTTTTCGTTATTACCAAATCAATTTTAGCTGTCTTTTCTTTTGCCTTGATGAGTCATTTTTTTTCTCAAATTCAATAATTTTAAATAAATGAGCTTAGATTTCCATATTCATATTTCATATCAATGTTATTTACATGGACTTTTCATTTAGAATCACATGATGTTCATTATTTAGTTCACATTTTCTTAATTTAGTTGCTTATTTTAAAGTACTCAAAGATTGATTGACACATAAATAACCTAATAAAATTTGGCAAAAGATTATTTAAATATTTTTGTTATATTAAAACTTGGCTTGTTTTTTTTTTTAATTTTTATGAAGTTGATTAGAATTTAAAGTATGAGAATAAAGGGATTAGGTTGAAACCATTTATTGTAGTTTATTCATGAAATTTCTTAGTATTCTTTGAATTTTCAACCATTAAAGTGAAATACACCCTTATCCCTTAGGGGGCAAGCCTTCAGAATGATACTTTTTCTTTATTCTGGCCTCTTAGAGTTCGCAAATTAGAATCTCATTGCTCTTTATAATGCATATTAATTGCGCACATGCCCCATCTCCATATCCAGTTATGATTGGAGCACGACACTACGTGACCCCATCTTTATTAGGATTTTAGTGGCATAAAATTTTAACCATATGAAATTACTAGTACACAAATCTTATTGAGTGCCTAAGAAATTCGTATCAACTAATTAATCAAAGTGGTGGATTGGTTGTCTTAACTGTAAAACTTTAAGCACTCAAATATGTAAATGGGACATTACTTTATTTGGAAAGTGAAAAATTATTGGGCTTAGCGTTGAATATAAATTTGAAAAGCCATAAATTTGAAGTTACAAGTCTTTTGTCCTTTTTTAGACGAATGTCTATATAAAATTTGTAACAAGCGGAGCGACCGGTAAGTTGGTTGTATCTTGGTTGTAATGGCTTAGGAAATATCTTGAGATGAAGGAGTCCACTGCTATAATTGATTAGGCTTGTTTAACTTGGTTTTAGCGAGGAATATTGTATTGACATCCATGCTGCGTGTCAACTTATGTCATTGAGGGAGAGTTGTTCGGCATTAGTGATGAAAGTTGACTTAGCGATTATTTGAATGGTTGGTTGGGATTTAGTAGCAAGAATTGTTCGAGTGATGGGGTTCAGATGGATGGAGTCGGTTTCGGTGACAGTCTAAATTTTTGGGAATCTATCAGATGATTGAAGGTGAACAAATAGGACTTTGTTTGGCATTGAATGTTAGTGAGGGCAAAATTTTTTATGTAATGGAATTTAACTGAGTAGGTGAAGGAGGTCAGATGGGTAGGAACTAAGTCACCACTGACGCCTGACAAGTTAGAGCTGGTTAGGTGGTGGAGGTTCGGTAGATAGATGGTGTTTAGGAAATGAGGTCGGAGAGCCCTGACAAGCAAGAGTTGGTTTGTTTTTGGAGACTAGATATATAAGAGTCAGTCTGGTGATGAAAACTAGAGAGGATGGAGTCAATCAAGTGTTAGCACTTAAATGCTAAATGGGCAGGAGTTAATCTATTGTCAAATGTCGAACAAAGAGTTGAGCAAGAGTCTAATCCCAGGTATATATGGTAGATCATTTTGTCAAAACCTAGACTAGTAAGGGCTAGCCAAATGAAGAAGAATGGATGGTTCAAAACCTAGTGAATGCTTGGATTCGGATTAATAGAAGGCATTCAGCCAATATAGTCCTAGAGATTAAGAATTGGTTTGGCCTTGGAAGCTAATGGATAAGATTCCATTAATCATCAGAAGTTGGGTAAGTAGCAGCCCTTGGGCAGAGGCCTAGTAAGAGCTTATAGGTAATGGAGGGTAGGGTTGAGCGTTGAATAAATTGGGGTGAATCTGTCAGATGATGGAGATTGAGTAATAGGGAGTTTTGGTTATCAAAAGCTAGATATGAAATTTAATTGCCAGCTCGATAAAGATCTAACTGAGGCTGAAAGCTTTAAAAGGAGAATTCTCTCTCCTTAATAGTTTGTTACCCTGATAGCCCCTCCAAGTAGTTTGCCAATTTGTTTTGCTTTTTATATTATCTTTTTGAAGTCTGGATGCTTTCTGCCAAGTTATTTCTGATTTTTTACATGCTCCATCGCCATCACCATGGAAGAGAGATAAACTATAGTTCATAAGTTTCATTTGAGCTAATGTGTAACTGTTAAAAATGCTTTGAATTTCCTTGCTTATCTTGAGAGCAAGATGGTATGGATTGGTTTTGCATTATAGTTACTTTGTTTTCATTACTTTTTCACTTTTATTTTTAAAGAAACCGTTAGTTTGTCTATCGTCGTATAATTCTTGTTTCCGAATAATGTCTCTTTCGGATCATATGAATGATTTGGAAAATAGAAGGATAAAAAAGGATGGGATATGCGACAATGAAGACAAACGATAAAAAACATGTGAAGAACTTTCATTAAGAAAACTTTGTGTGATAGCCTATGTGCATGCGCCCAAAAAGAGATCGAATAAAAAATGTCTTGGAATGTATCCGCGAAGAAAAGCTATGAACGAAACCTACAACCAGCGATTCAAGCTTATTTGTTTGTTCTGGAATGTTGGAATACATGCTTAGGGCTGCTTATTGAGTCTATGTTTATTTGAATTTAGTGTGTTTCTTAATCTTAGGAGCTAGTTGTTATTTTTTCTTGAATTTTATTTCTTGTTACTTTCTTGGCTGATTTTTAGGTCTTTTATTGGAAGTTTGTTATTAGCTCTAAGTTTAAAATATTGTAAGGCTACACAAAAGGTGTGGTTTTAATTTCCCTTCAATCTACAACAAGAAATTTTAGTTTTTCTCTTCTTTCTCATTTTCAAGAAACCAACAATTTTGGTATTAGAGCTCTCTTCTTAAGGAACCTGTGCGTGAGTTTGAGCCGCAATAGAGATCGAAGCTAGTTTTTTCTCAGTTGCTCCACCAGTGTTTGACGGAGACAACTACCGAATCTGGGCAGTCCGCATGGAAACGTGCCTGGAAGCTTTGGATCTCTGGGAAGCAGTGAAAAAAAACTATGACATTCCTATTCTCTCTGAAAATCCCACCGTAACATAAATTAAAGCACAAAAGGAGAAGAAAACAAAGAAGCCCAAGGCAAAAGCTTGTCTGTTTGTTGCAGTTTCCTCTACGACCTTCACTCGTATCATGTCGTTAAAAACGACAAAAGGGATTTGGGATTATCTCAAATTTGAGTATGAATGAGATGAAAGGGGATGAAAAAAGGGATTTGGGATTATCTCAAATCTGAGTATGAAGGAGATGAAAGAATTCGAGGGATGCAAGTGCTAAACTTGGTTCGTGACTTTGAATTGCAAAAGAAAACCATAAAGGAGCACTCTGACAGACTACTCAACATAGCAAATCGTATCAAATTATTGGATTTTTCTCTGGAAGATTCAATGATTGTTCAGAAAATTCTTGTAACAGTGCCTGAAAGATTTGAGGCTGCCATCACCACCTTAGAAAACACAAAGGATCTGTCAAAGATTGCTTTGACAAAACTCTTAAGTGCTTTACAAGCACAAGAGAGGAG